AAAAAAACCGACAAAATGTCAACTATAAACACCAGCTAGTTCCAAGTTGGCATCTTACCGGAAAACCAACATAATGTGCACGATAGCCAGACATTCTAAAACTTAATTAGCGAATATTTTGAAGGTAAAGATTATGAGTTTTCGGTGTTGACGCTCTTCAGCAGAAAGCTAGCTTTTTCACCGCACAATCCACAAATATGGAATCATACAAGTGAAATAAGTACATCATTGCCTCTGCAAACCTTTTATAGTACGTAATCTAGTTTAATATCCTGTTCATTTTACAAAAGGCCGCTATCAGGTTAGATAATACGGCACAACCTTCCAAAATAATGTCAATGCCAAGATCTCTTCCATTGATTAGACATGGCGTTGATTTATATTTGAGAATGTATTATCCCTTAAACATTTTATGACCCTATCCACAATGTAGAAATTCGGAAAAGGATATTTTTTTTTAACCTTCAAGGCCATTCGAAGGTCAGGATTGCTTAAATGTAACTCTCCATTTTTGACCCTGTAAATGAAAATAGAGGAAAATGTTACGTTCAATTATGGTCTCCATTCATAAACGTTGACCTTAGAGATTGTTGTCAAGGTCAAAACTAGGTACGGTGATATAAGTTTAAAGTAGTCGTATAAGGAAACTATCAGTACATTACTTTCAATATTTTCCCCCGGATATACACTGGTGACCTTGGATCTGACCTTGTCCATGACCTAAAAAGTCATTTGAAGGTCAGCCATTTTTTTTAATGGTTTTGACCGCTTAAATGGAGAAAAGGGAAAATTTTATGTTCGACTATGTCCTTGACCATTTTTTGAATCTGACCTTGGACTTGATGATCAAGATCAAACAAAAGTTTACCTTAGTTTCTTGATAGATCAGAAAAGTTTGTAATCCCTCGATAAACTGACTTCACTATTCCTTTAAGATTGTGTCCTGATAACAAAAATCGACTTGATCTTCACATGACTTTGAAGGTCATCATTATTAAGGTCAGATCCAAGATCAAAATATTATTTTGATATTTCCAGGATATCAAGTCTTGACCTTGAATCAGACCTTGGCCATGACCTCCAAGGTCATTTGAAGGTCAAGCCTTTTTTAATGGGACTCTATACTTTTGGTGACGTAAATGGAGGAAAGGGAAAATTTTATGTTCGAATATGTCCTTGACCATTTCAGGAATTTGACCTTTCACTTGATCATCAAGATCAAACACAAGTTTACCTTAGTTTCTTGATCATTCAGAAAACTGTGTAATCTCTCTAAAAAGGGATTTCCCTATTCCTTCAGGATTGTTTCCTGATTACAAAAATCAGCTTGATCTACACATGACCTTGAAGGTCATCGTTGTTAAGGTCAGATCCAAGGACACAATATTATTTTCATAATATTGTCAGGATATCAAGTCGTGACCTTGTATCAGACCTTGGCCATGATTTTCAAGGTCATTTGGAAGTCAATCTTTTTTTAATGGTACCCTATACTTTTGACCGCGGAAAGCGAGAAAAGGGAAAATTTTATGATTGAATATGTCCTTGACTTTTTATGGAATTTGACTTTGGACCTGACCATCAGAGTCAATCACAAGTTTACTTCAATTTCTTGATAGTTCAGAAAACTGTGTAATCTCTCGATAAACTGACTTCACTATTCCTTCAGGATTGTTTCCTGATTACAAACATCGACTTGACCTACACATGACCTTGAAGGTCAGATCCAAGATTACAATATTATTTTCATAATATTGTCAGCATATCAAGTCGTGACCTTGTTTTAGACCTTGGCCATGATTTTCAAGATCATTTGAAGGTCAATTTTTTTTAATGGTACCCTATACTTTTGACCGCGGAAAGCGAGAAATGGGAAATTTTTATGTTCGAATATGTCCTTGACTTTTTATGGAATTTGACTTTGGACCTGACCATCAGAGTCAATCACAAGTTTACTTCAATTTCTTGATAGTTCAGAAAACTGTGTAATCTCTCGATAAACTGACTTCACTATTCCTTCAGGATTGTTTCCTGATTACAAACATCGACTTGACCTACACATGACCTTGAAGGTCAGATCCAAGATTACAATATTATTTTCATAATATTGTCAGCATATCAAGTCGTGACCTTGTTTTAGACCTTGGCCATGATTTTCAAGATCATTTGAAGGTCATTTTTTTTAATGGTACCCTATACTTTTGACCGCGGAAAGCGAGAAATGGGAAATTTTTATGTTTGAATATGTCCTTGACTTTTTATGGAATTTGACTTTGGACCTGACCATCAGAGTCAATCACAAGTTTACTTCAATTTCTTGATAGTTCAGAAAACTGTGTAATCTCTCGATAAACTGACTTCACTATTCCTTCAGGATTGTTTCCTGATTACAAACATCGACTTGACCTACACATGACCTTGAAGGTCAGATCCAAGATTACAATATTATTTTCATAATATTGTCAGCATATCAAGTCGTGACCTTGTTTTAGACCTTGGCCATGATTTTCAAGATCATTTAGAAGTCAATCTTTTTTTAATGGTACCCTATACTTTTGACCGCGGAAAGCGAGAAAAGGGAACATTTTATGTTCGAATATGTCCTTGACTTTCTATGGAATTTGACTTTGAACCTGACCATCAGAGTCAATCACAAGTTTACTTCAATTTCTCGATAGTTCAGAAAACTGTGTAATCTCTCGATAAACTGACTTCACTATTCCTTCAGGATTGTTTCCTGATTACAAACATCGACTTGACCTACACATGACCTTGAAGGTCAGGTCCAAGATTACAATATTATTTTCATAATATTGTTAGCATATCAAGTCGTGACCTTGTATTAGATCTTGGCCATGATTTTCAAGATCATTTGAAGGTCAATTTTTTTTAATGGTACCCTATACTTTTGACCGCGGAAAGCGAGAAAAGGGAAAATTTTATGTTCGAATATGTCCTTGACTTTTTATGGAATTTGACTTTGGACCTGACCATCAGAGTCAATTACAAGTTTACTTCAATTTCTTCACAGTTCAGAAAACTGTGTAATCTCTCGATAAACTGACTCCACTATTCCTTCAGGATTGTTTCCTGATTACAAACATCGACTTGACCTACACATGACCTTGAAGGTCATCGTTGTTAAGGTCAGATCCAAGATTACAATATTATTTCCATAATATTGTCAGCATATCAAGTCGCGACCTTGTATTAGACCTTGGCCATGATTTTCAAGATCATTTGAAGGTCAATCTTTTTTAATAGTACCCTATACTTTTGACCGCAGAAATAAAATGGAAAGTGTTCGAACATGAGCTTGACTTTTTATGGTATTTGACTTTGGACCTGACCATTAAAGTCAAATACAAGCTTACCTTAATTTCTTGATACTTCAGAAACCTATGTAATCGCTCGATAAACTGCCTTCACTGTTCTTTCAGGATTGTTCACCGACTACAAAAATCGACTTGACCTTTATATGACCTTGAAGGTCATCGTTGTTAAGGTCAGATCCAAGAACACAATATTATTTTCATAACATTATCAGGATATCAAGTCGTGACCTTGTATCAGACCTTGGCCATGATTTTCAAGATCATTTGGAAGTCAATCTTTTTTTAATGGTACCCTATACTTTTGACCGCGGAAAGCGAGAAAAGGGAAAATTTTATGTTTGAATATGTCCTTGACTTTTTATGGAATTTGACTTTGGACCTGACCATCAGAGTCAATTACAAGTTTACTTCAATTTCTTCACAGTTCAGAAAACTGTGTAATCTCTCGATAAACTGACTCCACTATTCCTTCAGGATTGTTTCCTGATTACAAACATCGACTTGACCTACACATGACCTTGAAGGTCATCGTTGTTAAGATCAGATCCAAGATTACAATATTATTTTCATAATATTGTCAGCAGATCAAGTCATGACCTTGTATTAGACCTAGGCCATGACTTTCAAGATCATTTGGAAGTCAATCTTTTTTTAATGGTTCCCTATACTTTTGACCGCGGAAAGCGAGAAAAGGGAACATTTTATGTTCGAATATGTCCTTGACTTTTTATGGAATTTGACTTTGGACCTGACCATCAGAGTCAATCACAAGTTTACTTCAATTTCTTGATAGTTCAGAAAACTGTGTAATCTCTCGATAAACTGACTTCACTATTCCTTCAGGATTGTTTCCTGATTACAAACATCGACTTGACCTACACATGACCTTGAAGGTCAGATCCAAGATTACAATATTATTTTCATAATATTGTCAGCATATCAAGTCATGACCTTGTATTAGACCTAGGCCATGACTTTCAAGATCATTTGAAGGTCAATCTTTTTTAATAGTACCCTATACTTTTGGCCGCAGAAATAAAATGGAAAGTGTTCGAACATGAGCTTGACTTTTTATGGTATTTGACTTTGGACCTGACCATTAAAGTCAAATACAAAGCTTACCTTAATTTCTTGATACTTCCGAAACCTATCCTAATCCCCTAATCCCTCGATAAAATGCCTTCGCTGTTTTTTCAGGATTGTTCCCTGACTACAAAAATCGACTTGACCTTGAAGTTCATCATTGTTTAAGTCAGATCCAAGATCACAAGATTATTTTTATGTTATTTCCAAGATATCAAGTTGTGACCTTGGTTCAGACCTTGGCTATGATCTTCAAGATCATTTGAAGGTCAACCTTTTTTTTAATGGTACCCTATACTCTTGACCGCGGAAATGGAAAAAAGGAGAATTTAATGTTCGAATATTTGTGTCCTTGATTATTTTTAGAATTTCACCTTGAACTTGACAATTAAGGTCAATTACAAGCTTATCTTAATATACCTCAATAAACTTACTGTTATTAAGAGAACGAAGAATTTGCGGGGACCTATGTTTATATGAACTTTTTGTCTCAAAATTACCCAAAGAATCGTCTGTTATATTATTACTTAAATACTTAATTAACACCCTGAATGGTTTTTCTGATTGAAAATGATGCTACAATAATATATAAAATGAATTTATTTTAAATATATGAAATACACAGTAATAACTGCAGGAACAATATTTTCATTACAATAGGTACCTTAGTGTCTGAGCATTTTGGATCATCCCTTGTCATTGGGAGATACTTCTAGATTTCAGGTCTACCCACAACGCAATATAAACAAAAAATAGTAAGAATAACGATTAGCATAGTCTTGTCTCCAGTGATTCTTCAAATATAAGATATCAGCACAAAATTCAGTGTTATTATAACATAACCTCTTATAAAAAATCAGGACTATAATATGTAGGATTTACAACTTTACTACGATTGGCACTGTATCGGCTATAAATTGATCCCCTCTAACTTTTTTCTATGACCTTCTAGAAGAAAAAGTTGTATAAAATAGTTATAGAGTCCAATATAAAGTTTTTCATGTGACATTTTTTGTATATCGAATGCGGTAGATCACAGTAAGTTTAGACTTGTTTATTTTCTTCAGCTTGCAACTTCCTTTTCCTCGTCGTCAGCTCGACTCTGATGAATGTCGCGGTACCCAGCATAGCAAAAATCATTAGAATGCCCAGTTGTCCATACAAGGCTAGAGATTCAGCGTAAACAAAGGACAGCGCTGCACCAACAGACTAAAAATTAGAAAAATGACAGTTAAAAATAGATGTCATTTGCAGCTTAGAAAAATCTGATTCAAAAACAACTGTCTTTGATAGACATATGACAGCATGGAAGCGACGCCGTCGGTCATTTGAAGGTCAAGTTGATTTTTTTTAAATGAAACTCGCCATTCTTGATCATTCTTGAATTTTGTCCTTAGGAGGCCATGGTCAAGGTCAAACTCAGATACGGTGATATAACTTGAAACTCACATATTCAATAGTGACCTTGGATCTGACCTTGGCATGGCCTTCTAGGTCATTTGAAGGTCAACTCTTTTTCAACTGGACCCTATACTTTTGAGCGCGGAAATGGAGAGAAGGTGAAATTTTATATTCGGATACGTCCTCGACCACTTTTTGTACTTGACCTTGGACTTGACTATCAAGGTCAAACACAAGCTTACCTTAATTACTTAGTAATTCAGAAAATTGTTTAATCTCCAGATAAGGTAACTAAACAAGTATAATTTATAGATATATGACAACACGAGAGCCATCTACAACCAGCATCATATCAACGCCATACCTTTGACGCAGTCTGTATGTTTCGGTTGTATCGGCACACCGACTACTAAAAAATGTAGACCTATTTATTAACATTTTGATTTTTGCAGACATCTCTTCAGAAATTTCCCCAGCTACCGAATGGTGACCTTGATTATGACCTAGGTCTTTTGAAGGTCAAGTCGATTTTTTAAACGATCCTCCATTTTTGACCCCGTAAATGGAAAGAGCGGAAAATTTACGTTCAAATATGATATTGAAAATTATTCAATTTTGACCTTAGGAGGTCATGGACAAGGTCAAACTCAGGTACGGTAATATTACTCAAGCCGGAAACTACCGAGACATTATTTTCATGCTTTTTCCCGCATACCCAATAGTAACCTTGGATCTCCCCTTGGCCATATCTTCAGGGTCATTTGAAAGTCAACTCTAACTTAATTGGACCCTATACTTTTGACCGCAAAATGGAAGGAGAAACTGTATGTTGGAATATGTTCTTGACCATTTTTGGGACTTGACCTTGGACTTGACCGTCAAGGTCAAACACAAGCTTACCTTGATTACTTGGTCATTCAGAAAATTGTGTAATCTCTAGATACGATGACTCCACTGTTCATCCAGGGCTGTTCCCTGGCTTCAAAAGTCGACTAGATTTTCACATGACCTTGAAGTTCATCTTGGTTAAGGTCAGATCCAAGGTCACTGTCAAATATCTGGGCAAAAATCATGAAAATAAAGACTCGGTAGTTTCCCTATACTGTATTTCAAGTTATATCACCGTACCTGGTTTTGACCTTGACCATGACCGCGTATGGTCAAAATTTTGTGTTTAAATGCTGTTTATTATCTTGTTTTAATTATCGTTTTATTATGTCTCTGAATATAGCTGCTCTATTGACGATTTCTATATAATATTTGAGGAAAAATAAATGATTATTATTAATGTGTGGGGAACTGATGGCCTTTACCTGTGTAAATTTGAAAATAGCGAATGCCGGAGCACTCCTATCCGCATATACTCCTCCCAGCAATGAGAAGATTTGAGTATTGTAGCAGGCATCTCCAAATCCCAGCAAGAATGAGCAAAAAACGGCCAGAATATCATTGCTGGTAATGTACGCTTCCCCTTTTGACTCTCCAAATGGCGAATCGTTAGGCAGATTGATAAAGATCAGGAAGAAACTAATGGCATGAATGATGAAACCACTAACCACAATGGGGTGTCTGCCCCATTTGATCGTTTTGCTGCCTAGGATACCAAACAGGCAACCACCTAGAAAATAGTAAGAAATGAGTAGCATTCGGGATTTAACTAAAGTACCGGAGTACACTTTAGGAGGAAAGTTGTAGGATTTTCTCTAAACGATCGTTCGGTGACCCTGTAGATTCTGACCTTGAAGGTTATTTGAAGGTCAACTTTAAAATTCCAAATGCAAACCCCTAGCTCTGATTCTAGTAATGAAACGAGCGGGAAATTTCGCGTTTAAACATGACCTTGAATGACCTTTATATTTGACCTTGAGTGATTCCTGAAGGCAGTGTTGCCGAACCGAAAAGCACGAAATCGGTAGATAGTGTCATACAATTTTTTAGATTCAAGGGCAAAATTGGTAGCAACAAAAATCAGTGTCGCCGCAATATCAGAGGCTGATCAAGTGTCTTAGGGTTACGTAGCGCGTCAACGAAAAAAACACAGGTACACAGGTGCGTATGTATTCCCAAGGACTTATCGATATCCACCTTTAGTGATAGTTTGACCTTGAAAGAGTTGGCGAGCCTTTCCGGCACTTAGACGTCGCGGAAACCAAATCCGAGTTTCTCTCCCTCTAGAGATATGAGGCGTGAATTGACGATGAAATCGTACGACTAGAACCTCGTTAAAAAAATGAAGTTCCTTTGTTTTTTACTAAAGATGAAACGCCCAATGGGTTACTATCTCTGTAAGTTTCCTGTCAAAAACGTTATTTCCCTGATCCATATGAATAAATCTCATATATTTTGCAAGCAATTTCTCGAAAAGGTTAAGAATGGTAAATTAAATACCAATTACTTCTCCCACTCCGATGAAAATTCCAGATATTCCAACCAATTCCTTTCCATTTGTAAAAGCTTTAGTAAATCCAATGCAGGAACTGTATACGCCGCTGAAAAAACCCAGCTCCAAACCTGCAATAGAGTACAACGATTATAAAATGTACAGGGCGACCAAAAAACATGGGTAATACTTCTAAAGCGAGACGTATAATGAGAAATAATATGACTCCATTCTTCAAAAACTGCGCATCATAGACAAAAAGTTCCAAATAAAACTTGTAGGCTTTCAGGTAGGTAAAACGAATATGACCTTGACAATAACCTTGACTACGACCTTTGATATTATTTCAAGGTCAATTCTTAAATAAAACCTCCTTGTTTTAATCGAACTGAAAATTCGAGAAAATGTGACGTCTGAATACGACTAGCATCTATCTAACTGCTTCAGGACCATTTCAAGGTCTAATCAAAACGTTCGAAATAATTTGCTGCAGCAAAAAAATGTTTGACAGCACAGTTGTGAGATTTGTGGGGACCACCAAAATGTGACCTTGACCATGACTTTTAAGGTCAAGTCAAAATTTCCAAAGAAAATCTCTTATTTTGATACTGGAAATAGGAAACGCATGAAACTGAATGTGTTCTTTGTCTCAAAGAGAAAGTCAAGTCAAGGTTAAATGTTTAGCTGAGGTTAAGATCAAATTTGGATATGTCATTTCTTGCTTTTCATATCTCAGGTATAAAAATGAGAGGTTTTCTCAAAAAAATATTTGACCTCCAATGTCTAGGTCGAGTTCAAGGTCAAGGACACCGTCAAGGTCAATGACGCCCTCAAGGTCAAGGTAACGGTAATATTTTGGTGATCCCCACAAACTTCACAGCTTGTTCTGACCTTGAAATGCATTGAAGGCCATGGTCAAGTTCATGACCAAGGTCACTATATTTTTGCACCCTTGAAACCCTACAGGCTCTGTTTGGAGGTTTGTTTTCTAGAATGCGTAATAATTATGTCGAAAGATAAAATGTTTTGAAATTTGAAAATGTTTGAAGCCAGTCTTTTGTCAACCCAAGCGCGTTGAAGGAGTTCATAGTCAAGAACATTACTACTATAATTTTTCTTTCACGAAAATATTACCTGTATACAAAAACGCAACGGACAACATGAGCATATCACAGGTGATGAATAATTTCCCGGCTCCTTTCAAAGCCTCCCAAGGTCCAACCTGCACCTCGGGTTCTTCATCTTCCTCTTCTTCTTTGGTAGGCCGAGGAAGAAACAGAATCAGTGCCAAGCCAGCAACGCCTATCGCAAAAAGCGTCCAAATCACTATGTGTCTGGTTTGCTTGTCGATCTTGTCCTTTCCTTTAAACGCAAAGTAGACGAATAGATTGCCTATGAATAAGCTAGAAAGAAATTGTTAATATAGGCCGTTTTTAAAATTCAAGGACTGATCTGTTTGGATTATTCTAAGATCGTCTTCTCTAGCTATACTCATAACCACTCCACGATGTTTTTCTTTTTCATGTTGAGATTTACAACACAACCAGTTGAGATGATGTTAACGAAGTTGGTAAAGATTCTGAGATGTTCCTTTAAAAAATCAACATTAACTTACCTTAGTTGTAATAGAGCCCAAAATATCCCTGAATTTCTGGATATTTTCGCCTTAGTTGAATTGAGCGTAAGATAATTTCCTTGTCCAGTCCAAAGCAGAGCTGCTCCAATGCCGATTATTGCGCTGACTAGATATAGTAGCCAAGTCTTCGGTATCAAAAACGAAAGAATAAATACCCTAAAACAATGAAGTATAAGTCGCTTTTAGACGAGTTGACGAGTATTACTTTTCTTGCAATATATGGTTACGATATTGGTAACTGTAGATCAGCACTGGAATAATGCGTGTTTCCCTAACAAACTTTTTTCAATTCTCACACTGAATTTTGGTGGGTGGTCTTAAAGGCTACAAATCAAAAATTATTTCAACTTGAATTACGCAGAGATCGGCTTCTCACACTCAATGTATAGTTCTGTCACCAGCAAATCTGTGGAACGGATTGATCGTACAGGAACAAACAAAACAAACTCTGGGGAACACCCGCGTTGACATTGTCAATTACGACGGCAGCGTGTCACAGCTAATCGAGCGATTTCGTGATATCAAGACCAACTACATGAGCCTCACCATAAGTCTGGATGAGTTTACTCCACAGTTGCGTGACGTAAGCTAGGAGGTCCCCTTTGGACTGCAGATGTTGAAACCATACAGCCTGTTGCTAGTTAAGCCGTGTCGTAAGAGATACTCCAGAAGCAGAGTAGATGTTTTTCTTGAGCTGGACATGAGCAAATTCCCAGTTTTCTGGGAAGGTGTTAGATATGGAAGAGACGCGAAAGAACTGGGGCAAGCTTCGCTGCACACATCTTCATTACGGTTTTATTACTGAATAGTCCATGGTGGAGTTAGCGACAAAGATACTGGCAAACATTTCCGCCTTAGTACAAATAAATCAGACGTGAAAAAGATTTTCATTGAAATTTATAATTTACGCCAATTTTTGTGTCGGTTTTTCGCTGATTCAAGAGACAAGTATCGCTGCTTTGGATAACATAGTTAAAAAGTATTGAAGGATTTCAGTATAAAAGATGATAAAATATAAATAACAATACAACACCTGATCTTACATGTAAGTGGTGCCTCCTATAAACATCGAAAACTTCGGCCCTATAACGGCTATCACAGATGGAGCAGACCAGTTGAACACCGAGAAGAACGTATAAATTATACTTAAACTGTAATATGCACTAGCGTTGAAACTGTTATCATCCTCTTTAATGCTCTCTATTATAGTTTTCTGAAACAAAATTAACACGAATGAACAATTAACCCAAATAGAGTAACAGCTATTATTTCTTCCCATTTTCTCATTTTTAAAAATGCATTTAAGTCAACTCGTAATCCGCTATCGAGATAAGAAAGCTCCGTTAGTTACGGAGAATATGGAGAGTTTATTTCGTAAGGATATTTTTTCCTTATTCAAGGGTGCTGTGGGAATTTGTAAAGCTGGGTAAGCTTAATTAAAATAATTTCAAGTTGTTAAAATGTACTAAGTGACATATAAATCCGAACACCCAGTTTAAATGGTTTTATTTTAATAAAATTTTGTATAAGTACTTAATGAAGCATAATAAGTAAATGATAAAAATTTCAAAATGATTGCACTGGTTTAAAGCCCTTTGACCTTTAATAATGTGTGGATGCACCCTGATGTGCTACGCATTCTCCAACGCGCCTAGGCATGCTTCTGATCAGGTGGTCAATGTCTTCCTGTGGTATCTCATTCCAGGCAACCACCAACTCCTCTCGAAGTGCTTCTAGAGTCTGAGGAGGACGTTGCAAATTGAGCAATCTCCTACCCATCATATCCCACACTTGCTTAATTGGGGATAAGTCGGGAGATCTTGGTGGCCATGGTAACAATGTGACATCATTATGTTGAAAGAAGTCTATTGTGACTCTTGCAACATGTGGTCGGGCATTATCTTGTTGGAAACTTGGATCTGCCAGGGTGTCAAGATAGGGTAAAAGATGGGATTCTAGAACTTCGTGGATATAACGCTGCGCGTTCATGTTACCTCTGATGAAGATTAAAGGTGACCTGGAACCATAAGCTATAGCACCCCAAACCATAACTCCAACGGTGTGCTGAACATGTCTTTCAACAAAAAACTGTGGATTCCTCCTTTCACCACGTCGCCTTCTAACTATCGAGACTCGTCACTAAAGACAATACTGTTCCATTCCTGATCCCAGAGTGACAGTTGTCTGCACCACTCAAGGCGATTACGTCGGTGTTCTCGAGTTAAAGGGAGGACCCAGTGTGGCCGGTATGAAAACAAGCCAAAACTTCTCATTCGTCGGTAAACACTTCGCATGCCAATAGGTCTTCCGTGTTCTGCAAACCTTTCATTTGCAATGGACCTGGTAGTGGAGAAACGTTCCCTTAAGGCCAATAATCTTAGGCGGCGATCTTCACGGTCTGCTGTTCTACGGCGGCGTCCAGTGCCCCTTGCTCTTTGCGTACGGCCTTCTCGAAGCCATGCCTGACAACACCTGACCACAGTGTCTACACTTCTTTGCACTCTAACTGCAATTGCCCGAAAAGAAAGTCCAGCTTCCCGAAGTCCCACTATACGGCCCCTATCAAACTCACTAAGTTGACGAAATCGTACAGGTCTCCGTACTCTAGGCATCGTAACCGATCGTAAAGGATGTCAAGAACCAAAATCCGCCAACGTTGATTCTTTACTGCGGCTGAAATATTCATTTTTAGAGCGTTAGTGAATTAAAAAAAAAACAGTATAAAAACCGGAATGTCCAACTGATAAGGCTGAAATTTTTTTCACTTGTTATTTACAGTAAGATAAATACATTCACCAACTTTTATTAAAATAAAACCATTTAAACTGGGTGTTCGGATTTATATGTCACTTAGTATATACTGCTTAAAATCTAATAGAAATATCGGTAAGTCAAAAGTAACATAACGGCAGGGGTATTACGAATATTGGAATTAAAATTATATAGGTTTTTGTGACTACCTACTATTCGTCTTTATTCGTCAGAGCGGTCCGGTGGACCTTTGCTCTTAGTTAAAAGTCTCGTCGGTCTGTTAGTCTGTCAGTTCTGGCTACCCAGATACCAAACATGTTTAAGGGGAAACGGGAAAGAAGGAAAGAAAGGAAGGAAGAAATAGAGCAAAGAAAACAAGTAAATCATTTGAAATAGCTTAAGCATTATTGCTTTGACTACTCGAATTATTTTGTAACTTTAGATCGGTTCGAATACTGAAATAATTTTGGCTGGTCTGAATTTACAATTTAATTTTGATCACAGTGCAAGGCGCGACCTGGAATGTTTGCGAACTTGCTCGACTGTGTAGTCTGCTGACTCACGCAACAGAGGGTTGCTGTGCGATTCCGCTTGATTATAACGCCGCTGCGCCTGTTGTTTTACATAATCCCTTAGATATGGGATATGAAGATCTCTGTGAATGATCTCATTTGACACGTACCAAGGGGCGTTAGTAATTGTGCGTAGGGTTGTTTTGCAGGACTTGCAGCCTCTGCATGTGCGTCTTGGCAAGAAAACACCACGCCGCGCATGCGTACGTGATTGCGGGTCTTATGACCATTTTATATAACCATTGATCAAACTTAATTTTGAATTTCTGCACAACAGAGGATAAAGCTACGTTTTCGGAGTATTAATTTTGATCAACCACCGATCCGCCCACTCCAATACTTCCTCCATCGCACTTTGCAGCCTGTCGTGAACCAGGTTACCAGAACAAGACTGGGCTAGCAATGCAGTGTCGTCAGCATAGAGATAGACTTCACAGTTGCTGGGGCAAGGGACGTCATGTATAATAATAATAATAATAATAATAATAAATGTCTTTATTGAAACCTTCGAATTGAGGCGAAGTTTAGCCACATGGCTACTCTATCACTTAACCTCAATCTACCACTTAACCTCAAATATATAAAGTGAATAAAGGATTGGTCCTAAGACCGAACCCTGAGGAACACCGGCTCTTACGGGCCGTGTTGTTGACAACACATTGTTAATTTTGATCCGAAACTTCCTTCCTTCTGGAAAAGATTTCAACAGTTTTAGTAGTCAAAATTCAATACCCTTTTGGATGAGCTTAAACAAGAGGCCCATGCGCGACACCTTGGCAAATGCCTTTGATACGTCTAAAAGCAAGATACCAGTACTTTTGTTCAGGGTGAGTCCCCTGGTAACATGCTCCTCTAGTCTAACTGCCTGTAGCTCCGTAGTATGCTCAGACCGAAAGCCGAATTGCACGACAATTCTCAAGGTGACGATAAATCACCTTGTCGGCGAGCTTAGAAGGAGCTGACAGCAGACTAATGGGACGGTAATCCTGGGCGAATATCGAACCTGCCTTCTTTGGGATCATGATGACTTCAGCGACCTTCCACGCCTTAGAAAAGTAATGACTTCTGAGCATTGCATTGATTATTGCCACCAGATAAGTCAAAGCCTTAAGCAAAAACAACTTCAGTGCTTTGTTGGTGATTTGATCCTCTCCAGGTGCTCCAGGATCTTCCTACCCTGCTACTCTACCATCTTCTCAGATATACTCAGCATTCTGCAACCAACAAAGCACGCTGTCGAACTGACTTGTAGAATGGTCGTTGTTAGTCAAGTCATTCCGCGATAGGTGACGCTCACAGCGAGCAATAGAGGAATGAACTAGTTGTACACTAGGATCTATCTAGTCATCAAGTGGACATTTTGTCGTTTTTGGACATTATATAGGTTTGTTACGTGATAATCCTGTAACGGACCGCCTTGATAGACAACGAAGAAATGACGAGTGTGCGGTATACAATTTTGTCAGGCGGACAGCGACCTGACAGCTGACAAGATTTTGTTATCTCAATTCTCCGCAAAACCCACCCTGAGTGCACTTGGTTCGATAAGAGATTTGCAAAAATCAGATATTTATTTAAAGAAATCTAAAATCCAAATCGTCATGCAGAAAATATTTTAGGCAGTTTCACAATTAGAAACAGATCTTCGCACAGCTGTATAAAATAAAAAGTAAACCCATCACTTTGAAGTTAATTTGTTATCAAACCCTTTTTACTCACAATCGCTTTCAATAAACTGACCTTATTCGATTGTTTTGAATTATCAGCTTTATCACGCGTATCACACCAGAATAACGATTTGTATTGCATCAGTATAATATACTAAGTGACCTATAAATCCGAACACCCTGTTTAAATGGTTTTATTTTAATAAAAGTTGGTGAATGTATTTATCTTACTGTAAATAACAAGTGAAAAAATGCTCAGCCTTATCAGTTGGACATTCCGGTTATTATACTGCTTTTTTTTAATTCACTAATGGCGGATTTTGGTTCTTGACATCCTTTACGATCGGTTACGATGCCTAAAGTACGGAGACCTGTACGATTTCGTCAACTTAGTGAGTTTGATAGGGGCTGTATAGTGGGACTTCGGGAAGCTGGACTTTCTTTTCGGGCAATTGCAGTTAGAGTGCAAAGAAGTGTAGACACTGTGGTTGGGTGTTGTCAGGCATGGCTTCGAGAAGGCTGTACGCAAAGAGCAAGGGGCACTGGACGCCGCCGTAGAACAACAGACCGTGAAGATCGCCGCCTAAGATTATTGGCCTTAAGGGACCGTTTCTCCACTACCAGGACCATTGCAAATGAATGGTTTGCAGAACACGGAAGACCTATTGGCATGCGAAGTGTTTACCGACGAATGAGAAGTTTCGGCTTGTTTTCATACCGGCCACACTGGGTCCTCCCTTTAACTCGAGAACACCGACGTAATCGCCTTGAGTGGTGCAGACAACGGTCACTCTGGGATCAGGAACAGTATTGTCTTTAGTGACGAGTCTCGATTTTGTTTAGGCATGCACGATGGTCGTGCCAGGGTTAGAAGGCGACGTGGTGAAAGGAGGAATCCACAATTTTTTGTTGAAAGACATGTTCATCAAACTGTTGGAGTTATGGTTTGGGGTGCTACAGCTTATGGTTCCAGGTCACCTTTAATCTTTATCAGAGGTAACATGAACGTGCAGCGTTATATCCACGAAGTTCTAGAACACCATCTTTTACCCTATCTTGACACCCTGGCACATCCAACTTTCCAACAAGATAATGCCCGACCACATGTTGCAAGAGTCACAATAGACTTCTTTCAACATAATGATGTCACATTGTTACCATGGCCACCAAGATCTCCCGACTTATCCCCAATTGAGCACGTGTGGGATATGATGGGTAGGAGATTGCTCAATTTGCAACGTCCTCCTCAGACTCTAGAAGCACTTCGAGAGAAGTTGGTGGTTGCCTGGAATGAGATACCACAGGAGGACATTGACCACCTGATCAGCAGCATGCCTAGGCGCGTTGGAGAATGCGTAGCACATCAGGGTGCATCCACACATTATTAAAGGTCAAAGGGCTTTAAAGCAGTGCAATCATTTTGAAATTTTTATCATTTACTTATTATGCTTCATTAAGTACTTATACAAAATTTTATTAAAATAAAACCATTTAAACTGGGTGTTCGGATTTATATGTCACTTAGTATACAATACTTTACGTTTAAGGAAATCTTTGATGTGTCAACATATGGATGAAGGTATTATGTACTTATTCTCAATCGAGATAAATCGTAATCGCGGTGCTTAGGTATATCTTATAACGTATTAGCAACACAACTAATTCGTATACGATAATAGAATTATTACTCCCATAGTACACATATGAACTGCGCTATTTCTAAGGGCTTTTTAATTCAACTTTATCTGTTTGTATAGTCGAAATCACGAAAGATGACGATTACGTCATCATTTTAGTCTGTAGTAAAGACAAACCTCAGCGATTTGTGAATATTTTTAATGAAGTTTCAAATATGTTAGACAGAGACAAACAGAATTTTATTGTCTAAACTGTATTGCTGATTTGCATGTATCCGATAAAGATAGACGATGTTTTCATGTTGCATGATCGATCATATTTGAAAGATGAATAGTTAGGTTATGTTAAAGCCGGTTAGGTTGTTTTCGAATAATGCTTTGGTCTTTGGTGTTAATGTCTTAAGGTGTATTCACTCATAACTATTTTTTCAAAACAAAAACTCCCCACTAAAATTATTATTAAGGTATCACTTAAAACCATGAAATAAAATGAAAATAGAAATAATCAGTGAAATAACCTAACTTCGCAAAATCATAATATAAATGCATGAGGTTGTGATTTTATCATCGACGTACGTCCATTGATTACTTCAGTCCAATTTCTGGTATGACGTAATGTCATCTTTCGTGATTTTGACTTTATGTTGGAATTGAATTTCGAACCAGTGAACATCAACGAACCGCGCTGAAATTGTAACAACAATGCTGTGTTTATTATTGTTAAAAACAAAACCGTAACCTACTATAAACATATTGGTAATATGTAAGAAACTGTGCATGGTTGTTTCATGTGATCGTGAATGTAATGATGTTGAACTTGATATAGAGGAAATGGTTATCTGATGGCATTGCATATGAAGCGTCAATGCCATCAACGTTGGTCTCATTGGTATTTCCAAAACGTTCAGCAGAATGGTTATAGCCAGGCAAGGAGAAGTCAGAAAAATATGAATATTAAAAGTATGCAATCGGACCAGTGACCGCAGAAGGTTCCAGTGTATTCTATATTTTATTTATTCTATATAAATTAGATTGTTTATTGGGAATCGACAAATTTATAGCGACTTAAATCTCGAGCTTTTTACAGACTATGGTGTCATCTTCAGAAGTTAGTCTGTGAGGTTGCTGATAAATGCTTTTTAGAAAAATACGTGGATGAGACCACTTGTCAAGATTATAAAAACAAAACACTGGACACATTGGATTTGTTGTTAACGAACAAGTGTCAGACTATATTGGAATGGCGTGGTCGTTATCAATCTACATATCTTTTTCGCTTTAAAAATACAAAATATCAAACTTTTCATATCTTAAAAAAATCCTGGTGGATAAAATCGAAAAAGTGTATCGTTAGCACCCGGTGGACTTTGTTTTTAGCACGCTGCAAGAGTTTCATTTGGAAATAATAAAAAATGAAACGTGAGCTGTGAAGTACAAATCGGTTTTTGGGCGAAATTCGTCTACTGTTTCGTCCTGCCAGTTCAAGCGACGCGACGGTGCGTTCCGACTACGAAAATAATTTGATATATTTCCTAAAATAAATACAAGAACTCAAATTAAAATTCGTTTGAGTACCAAAATAAGAAACGATTTACATTCTAGATCGCTAATCGAAACTCTGTTATTATAAAAATTTACCTTGGTATGCACCCGCAGTCATCCTTTCCTCTAAAGTAGCGCCGACGACTGTCAAGGGCCAGCCTACCCCTGTTAGGAGGCTTTTTGACTTAGTACACGGATTAATTTTGAGGTGAACTAAACAAATTTTGATTCGGTTTTGTTAGACTGTAATTTTAAGTTGTTCGCGCTAATTTGCGATTAAAGTGCGAGCCATGGCCTTGAATGTTTACGAACTTGCTCCAATGTGTAGTCCACTGAGTCGCGCAACAGAGGGTTGCTGTGCGATGCCGCTTGACAACTGTTTTATCAATACAAATCAATTATCTGGCCCAAATGCATTTGGGGAAATATACTAAGTGACATATAAATCCGAACACCCAGTTTAAATGGTTTTATTTTAATAAAAGTTGGTGAATGTATTTATCTTACTGTAAATAACAAGTGAAAAAAATGTCAGCCTTATCAGTTGCACATTCCGGGTTTTATACTGCTTTTTTTAATTCACTAACGCTCTAAAAATGAATATTTCAGCCGCAGTAAAGAATCAACGTTGGCGGATTTTGGTTCTTGACATCCTTTACGATCGGTTACGATGCCTAGAGTACGGAGACCTGTACGATTTCGTCAACCTAGTGAGTTTGATAGGGGCCGTATAGTGGTACTTCGGGAAGCTGGACTTTCTTTTCGGGCAATTGCAGTTACAGTGCAAAGAAGTGTAGACACTGTGGTTAGGTGTTGTCAGGCATGGCTTCGAGAAGGCCGTACGCAAAGAGCAAGGGGCACTGGACGCCGCCGTAGAACAACAGACCGTGAAGATCGCCGCCTAAGATTATTGGCCGGGACCGTTTCTCCCCTACCAGGTCCATTGCAAATGAATGGTTTGCAGAACACGGAAGACCTATTGGCATGCGAAGTGTTTACTGACGAATGAGAAGTTTTGGCTTGTTTTCATACCGGCCACACTGGGTCCTCCTTTTAACTCGACACCGACATAATCGCCTTGAGTGGTGCAGACAACGGTCACTCTGGGATCAGGAATGGAACAGTATTGTCTTTAGTGACGAGTCTCGATTTTGTTTAGGCATGCACGATGGTCGTGCTAGGGTTAGAAGGCGACGTGGTGAAAGGAGGAATCCACAGTTTTTTGTTGAAAGACATGTTCATCACAGTGTTGGAGTTATGGTTTGGGGTGCTATAGCTTATGGTTCCAGGTCACCTTTAATCTTCATCAGAGGTAACATGAACGCGCAGCGTTATATCCACGAAGTTCTAGAACCCCATCTTTTACCCTATCTTGACACCCTGGCAGATCCAACTTTCCAACAAGATAATGCCCGACCACATGTTGCAAGAGTCACAATAGACTTCTTTCAACATAATGATGTCACATTGTTACCATGGCCACCAAGATCTCCCGACTTATCCCCAATTGAGCACGTGTGGGATATGATGGGTAGGAGATTGCTCAATTTGCAACGTCCTCCTCAGACTCTAGAAGCACTTCGAGAGGAGTTGGTGGTTGCCTGGAATGAGATACCACAGGAGGACATTGACCACCTGATCAGAAGCATGCCTAGGCGCGTTGGAGAATGCGTAGCACATCAGGGTGCATCCACACATTATTAAAGGTCAAAGGGCTTTAAAGCAGTGCAATTATTTTGAAATTTTTATCGTTTACTTATTATGCTTCATTAAGTACTTATACAAAATTTTATTAAAATAAAACCATTTAAACTGTCACTTAGTATAATAAACACATTCTGTAATAACCCGTAACAACCCCTAGGAAAAAATCCGCCGGACGCTAATGAACATAAGCGGGAAATGCGGTAAGCAGTTGAAGAGACACGAAGATGAAAGGGACCGACAGCAGGTGTCGCATCTGTATCATCCTTAGAGTATAATCTGTGCCATTTTACAAAAAAATAGCGGCAAATTCAAAACCGGTGCTCTTATTGAGACACCCTATATTTGTTGACAACGACATATATGATCACCTCCAAAAGCAGTAGTTGTGTTATCTTGAACACAAGATTCGTAATTACACGTTGTATTCCACTTTTTTCCAAACTGTGCGATCTCTGGCACATATTGTGATCACAACGTCATCACTTGACATTTTCCCAACGTCAGGACGAGCTTTCGCCGTGCAATTGAAAGAAAATTATGTGCAAAATACTACTCGCATTTTTTCGTCTATTATAACATAGGTTGCATGCAAATGACGCGACGTGGACAGCGGGCTTAAGCCATACCGATAGCGCATCCTGTTTATCAATCACGTTAAATTAAACATAATGCACGGTAATACTTACTTGAATGTTGCCCCATGTCTGGAAGGCAGTGAAGATCAGCATAAAGGCGATCCCTAGCAAAATCACATTCACAAGGCTCTTATCAAACATTTTGAAATGTTATTATTTTGTTGTCGCGAAAGAGAAACAGTCACCAAGTCAGGTACTTTCACTGTTCACCAGTCCTCGACAGGTTTGTAAACTGGTATTATCGAATTATTTAAACTTTTCATGCGCGTTTTACTATCTCTCGCGCACTACGTTGTCTCCGGTTGGGTGATAGATGCATTAACATATCTCGCGCTCGCGTTTGATAGAAATTCCATATTTTAATCTGTATTTGTGAGTAACTAGCAATTGTGTTCTCGAATAATAACGAAATTAACAGTGAGATAGCGATACCGCTGTAAAGCATGAACATTGATATGCTAAACATGTAGTACAATCTACAGGGGCGTAGATACTTCCGTATCAATAATTATACGGGGGGGGGGGCAACTTACAGGGGCCTCCAGGTACGAAAAAGATGCGTAGAGTGTTTCTCACGCAAGTTTTCATGAGGTACGCTAAATTGAAAGTTCTCAGGCGCTAAATCGTATATTGTATTACTGAGACATAGTAGCATGCTATTTTTACTTCCCACGCTACTGATATTTTATGTTTTTTGGTTGTTATATACAGTGGACCTCCGGTAATCCGACAAACATTATGCAGGGCAGTGTCGGACTATCGAATTTGTCGGATTATAGAGCACTGCCTAAGACCCGCTATAGTCCGGAATTTTTTACAAAAGAGTACCTTGTAATCCGACAAATTACATATCCAATGGTAAGATTATATATGTTATGTATATGTATGTACTTTGAAGTACAAATCATACATAGTTTATGTATGTCGAATTTAGTAAATTAAATAACAATAGAGAGCTTACGTTTTATTATGAAATTAAGCATAAATGCACATACATATGTACAAAAATAATCAAGAATTATTAATCAAAATCATTGATGAATTTATCCAATTATGAAGTTTGGAAATATTCATCAATTTTTGTTTGGTTAAGGTTGTTATAACGCGAGATCAGAGCTTTGTCCCTCAGTCTTCTCAAAAGTAAAAGTTCGTTGTAGGATGTATACTTTATCTGAAGTCACTTGAAACACTGTGAAATACCGGGTGCGTTTTATATATCTATATTTAACACGCTCTGTTGCTGCAAAAATCGCCAAATTTCGCAGCAAATATCCCCCGTATAAGATCAAAGGCAGGTTCACCGGTCCACGTGGAGTAAAGCACGCCTATGCGTGGACATAGCCAATGAGAAAGCGTGTATTTCAGAGCTCCGAACAAGTGCAGGTGGCTACTGAAAATTGAAACAGTTTAGCCAGTGCCGTGTAGCGGTGAATAAACGTGTTTTCTTTAGTCTGTCCGTGTTTTTTCATAGATTTTATTAGTTTGTGTGTTTTTGACTTTTGAATACTCAGTTTACTTGTTGTGTTGATTGTTCTTGTGTGTCCTAAATATGGCTCTTTGGAGACCTTGGGAAAATGCTCCAAGCCACGAGGAGATGGTTGATGAACCTGTGCAGGCAGAATTCTTTCATAAAGATTTAGAGGAACAGACCCAAAAAGTAATCCTAAATATGTATGATTGTCTGAAAAACGAAAATCCAGATTCCTCGCAAAATCAAATTTTAAACAGAATTTGTATCCTGACAAAAATCAGTCGGTCTATTCATTTATCGGGTTATAAAAAGGGGAGATGTAGTCAACCATTCCTTCCACAGAAAGCGCATAGGGCAAAAATTAAAAAGAATAGACGTGGGTTTTCAGGAAGATATTCGTCGTATAATATACGAATTTTATAAAGAAAATTTGGTGCCCACGTTGGAAATGATACGGGATAAATTAAAAGATTATCCTGAAGATTTTTATAATTACAAATGCTTGACTCACCGCACTGTATTGTAAAACTGTGTGGTTTTCAATACAAAAAAATAGATAAAAGAATGGTGATTATGGAGTCATCTCGAATCGTTGAATTGCGCCAAGAATTTTTGCACAAAGTTAAAATCTATAGAGAGCAGAAAAGAAATCTGATTTACCTGGATGAAACGTGGTATGATACCCATGATGTTGTGCAGTACGGCTGGGTTGACGACAGCAACAAGTGCATTTTAAATGCACCATGCAACCGTGGAAAACGAATCATTATTCTCCATGCTGGCAGTGAAAATGGATTTATACCTAATGCCTTGCTGTTATCTGCCAAAAATATCAAAGAATCATGTGCCGACTATCATGAGGACAAGACCTCCGACTTATTTGAAAAGTGGATAGAGCAGCAGTTAATACCAAACATTTCCCCAAATTCAGTGATTATTATGGACAATGCGCCATACCATTCCCGACAGAAAAACAAAATTCCGAATACAGGCACAAAAAACAAGACATTATTGATTTTATGAAGGATAAGGGAATGGAAATACCACAAAAATCAACCAAAGCCATATTATATTATTGGATCTTATTAAAAGACAAAAATTTGAAAAAGAGTATGTTGTTGACAATCTGCTTCAGCAAAATGGCCATGAAGTATTACGTCTACCTCCCTATTACTGCATTTTTAACCCGATTGAGTTGGTCTGGGCTGCTTTAAAAAAAAAGTAAGAAAACATAATCAGACCCCTCAAATAAGTGAATCGCTATCTCAATTATTATTACTATTGTTGTTGTAGTACGTTGAAAAATTTTAACAGGTGAAAATACTATACCTTTGTCCCTTAAATTGTAATATAAAATCTCTAAATAGATATGGCACCCTTACTAAAAAAAAGTCACATTTCAACAAAATCAATGTGTTAGTCAAAGGATCAAGTTGTGCCCATGCACATTTTTCATCAAGATATCTAAAATCACATACTAAATTTACTCAAAAATTAACCAAATCTCGAACTATCATAGGCATAACATATGGGGTCCTTTAAGGTGCAGTGACCCAGTTGAGCCACTCGGGGTAACTGACCCTGCTCAGCACCAATAAATACACTGGAAAGCAGCTTATGTATTCAATAATGCTTCATAATTAGTAAGTTTTTTTTTCAGAGGAGTGGACTTGCAAGATGCAGAAGAGGCTTAGAATGTTTTTTTAATAATATTCAACTAGCAAATTAAACCATTATATCTAGAATGAATTTTCTTTAAAAACCCAATTTTATATAAGCTAAAATAACCAATGAAGGATTTTCTATATATACTGAAAATATGTATCAGATTAATGATTGAAAATCCATACATATTTACGAATTTCATCAAAATATAAAATTGATATTTAAAAATCTTTCCTCATATATTTTCTAAATATTTGGAAAACATATCTATAATGAATATTTTATAAATATATTTATTAAATATTAAAAAATCTGTCCCTACAAATATTTAACAAACGTTTTTTAGAAATATTTAACAAATATTTAATGCTATCGTAGTATCCTCTATTTTTCCATTTGACTTTTGCAACTCAAAAAATAAATATTATTGCGATCGGGCAACGATAACATTTGACAGTTAATAGGGAAACCATGTGTATGGATTTCAAAACCTAATTCTTATTTAACAAATAAAACACTGCTTCATTTGTATATTATATTTCTTAGATATTAAAAGCACATTATTCAGTAAGTTTTCTTTTCAAAGCTTACTTTTTACAGTCAGGATATACGAGGGCGGTTCAATAAGTACCCGGGTTAGAAACGATGAAGACACCATTTAAAGGAAAAATATTTTTCAACACCTTTTAGAAAGACACACTTTTCCCAACGTTCCTGCCTTTTTTAACCCTTCAAAAAAATAGGGTTTGTCGTACTCTCCAAAATACGCCTCTGTCTCGTTTGAGCGAAAGTTATTGCTGTGTTTAAAAACACAATCTAAACGATCATCTTAATTACTTGTAATGCCCAAATCGAAAATGTAAAAAAAATATTATTTTCCCATAAATAATTAAAAATGCATCGAACCTTAAAAATCGAAATATCTCAAAAACGGCTAACTATAACGAAAACTCACAGGAGAGCTTTTTTATGTTGAAAAGTACGAAGAATCAGTTTTTTTATTCAAAAAGCAAAAAATTGCATTAAGAAAAATTTTTCGGTCATTTTAATACACAACAGGTACAGTAGAGAGCGCCTTCTAGCGGGCTACAGTAAAACTTCGTTTTGTCGTACCAAAAAACCCTTGTATACCAATTTTCACTATTATACATTAAATATTGTTCGAAATATTTAAAAAAACTATTTTAGAAAGTAAATTTAAACACCCTGTATTTCGGAAGCCACGCATTTTTCGACCCAGTTCTATCGAATCTTAAAGTTATGCAACAATAAACTGAAACACCCTGTATACTCACACTTGTGCCTTTATGGATTTTTAGTCATTCTTTTCTTTTTTGACGTGTACAAACCATGGGTGTATTTATTATCAGCAAATTATTGTTATTTATTATTAACACTTTGCCGCTCGAGAAGTGTGCTTACCAAAATTTCGAATGTCTGCGGTATTTTGGGAAATTTTCATCATAAAGCAGCTTCAAATATATTATGTCGGGGAAGTTATCCATATTCTAATCAAACTACCATTTCACTTTATAGATATTTATTTACCTATAAAATATACTATACAGAAATTAGCATTCTACAAATAGATCAGAACATTTTAAATAATGCACAAAAATATTGTTGACAAAAAATAACAAATAAATAATAAAAATTTATAGACTATCATTTAAAATATTAATTTAATATTTCAATTTTATAAGACATGTAACTAAGTTTTTACTTATGTTTTATAAAATATTTTTAGCTATAACAGCTAACACATTTTTTGTTTAGATTTTTCCGTTTTCATAACAAATGATGGCAAATTTATTATTGGCATAGACTGCAACAAATCTGCACAGCGAATATTCTTCAAAAATTGATGCAAGTCTTTAAAACTATCAGTAAATAAATGGTAGATTTGTAATAGAATATACCAATACAGTGTTCTTCAACAATTTTCATCTTATAAATTAAATTGGAAATAATCACTTGGCTAGCTATAGGTGTTTTACATTACTAATACTGATATATAGTATTTTTATTTTATGATCATTTAAAAAGTGTTTTTTTGAAATTTGCTCCTTTTATCAAAAAATACACATTGTATCAAAGAGCTTATAAAAAGACGCTAGATTTTTTCAATGTTCTACATAAAGTGGAAGAACTTCATGGCAAAAGCAAATTAACCAGAATATCAAAAATACGTAAAACAACAAAAATCCCTGATTGCAAGATAAAAATGATGTAACCAATTAAGAGAATGCTTAAATTCCTGGAAATTTATAATTCCTATTTCCTTGGAATTTAAGATAAAAATCAGGGCTTTTTGCATTAGCTGTAAATAAGATTCGGTAAGTTT